AAGGAAGGAGGACGAAAGGAAGGAGGACGAAAGGAAGGAGGACGAAAGGAAGGAGGAGGGGAAGGTGCAGTGCAGATTCTGCCACAAATGGTTGCTGCCGCTTGCAGTGGAGCAGCACCAGCAGAGCTCTACTTGGTGTTTGCAAGCCCAGGGCAAGGCAGTTGACATGCTACAATGCCAACGCTGCAGCAGGAAGACCGCATCAGGGTGGGCAATGGTGCAGCACTACCACTCAAGGCACGCCGAGTTTCTGGAGGACCTCCACAAGATGCAGATCGATGTGGACTGGCAGTACCCGCCAAGCCACAACACAGCGCTGAAACCCAGGCGCTCACCTTCCCGGTCTATGGCTCGCCCCGTGGGAGGCTCGCCGCAACGCCCAAGGTCGCCCCCCAACCCGCCGAAGAGGCGACCAAAGCACCCACCAGGCCCACGAGAGAAGCCAAAGCCACTTCCTTTGAAGGAGGTGGCTGTAAAGCAAGAGTCAGAGCCCGAGGTGGCCCGCCAAGCTGCAAAGCAAGACCAGGACACCAAGCCCAACAAGAACAATGCCACAGAGGGCCAAGGCACCGCAAGCCTGGCAACAGTGGACACGGGTGGCACCCCTGCATCGGGCGGGCTTCAGGCAGGCCTCCTTGCGGGGCCCCAAGGCAGCAATGTGGGCAGCTTGCTGATTGCCATTGGGCAGGCTTTGGCTTCTGAGAGATGATTGCCTTAGCATTCCTTGGCCGGTAAGTGGCAATGCCACTACCTTCGGCTTTTTGAGTCGCCGTGGTCGGCAAGGGGCTTGGTCCGGAACTTGAAAGTTGGTAAAGTAGGCATTATATAAAGCCTTAATAAATTCCCAGTAAAAAGCTTTGCCGACCACCGGCCAATCACCTTGCGCCAGCGCAGAGCAAAACACCATAGCTACAGCGTTGCCAATGGTTATGTCTTCAGTTGATCAGGGTGCTTTGCACATTTTGTGGGAAGCTGGGCTCAAGTCTTTGATTCGCATGAAACGCATTTGCATGCACACGCGTTGCAAGAGGACGAGGGGCAACAGCCCATACTTCTAAGTCTAGTTCCATGGCCAGCGATGACAGCCCGTCCTTGCCATCACTTTCGGAAAATGGCTCATCTGTGATCATGCTGCCCTCCGGCTCAGACTCTGAGCCAGAGCTGCCTGCAGCTTCTGGCTCAGGCCAGTGCTGCAACTCCGGCTGCCTCGCAGCCTTGGACGAGAGCCCGGAGCTTTGCACACGCGCAGAAGAGGTCAGAGTGGCTTTTCAATCCAGCCGTGTAGAGGATCTTGCCAAGCTCCGATACCATTGCTTGGCGGCTTGGCAAAGCAAGCCGTCTGGCTGGCGCCACTTCCGTGCTTGGGGCATGCCACTGTGCAAAAATGCGGTGTGTTCCTTGTTGCACATGGGTTCAACCATGTACAGCAAGTTCACTAAGCATATAGCAGAGGGGTACATTGACCCACCCATGGACCTGCGGCGCACGCAATGCCAGCAACGCACAACTGGGCAGAGCACCTCTGACGCCACTGTTGCAGCCGACACCTTGCTACGGTGGATCCACGAGAATATGGCAGAGCATTTGGCAGAGAGCGACCAGTTCGTCTCAGGCAAGACCAATTTGCTCCACAAGGCAGAGACGGCAGGCTTGGCAGATATCGCCAACGGGCCTGAGCACATCAAGTGGCTGGCGCCAGGGACAACGCTGACTGAGCTGCTGTCATTCAGCGCAGCCTTCAACCCAGAAGTGGAGGCTCCCAGCTTCTCCACCTTTTGCCGGATCTACCACAGTGACTGGGCAAAATGGCTGAAGATCCGAACAGAGGGGCAGCATTCCAAGTGCGACAGCTGCGAAAAGTTCAAAGCCTGGAGGCGACTTGCCAGCTCCAAGAGCGACGTTGACATGGTGAGCAAACTGTACAAGGAGCACCTGGCAAGCATGATGGCGGACAGACGGGTGGATGCTGCCATCGCTGCATTGGCCCGTCAGACATGGGCCGGAGAGGGGGGGGACAAGTCCACATTGTCCCTGACCCTTGATGGGATGGACACCACAAAATTCAAGGTGCCAAGGAACTGGTCATGTTCTAAGGAGTGGGACTCATTGTGGCGACCCGAACTCCGGCTTCACGGAGCGCTGAATGATGGATACTCAGAGGAATACATACTGACAGACCAGGACATGAGCAAGGGCAGCAACTTGGACCTGACCATCATCAGCCATCTCCTGCACGAGTCCCAAGGGGAAATGCAGAAGCGTGGCATACCCTGGCCACGCTTTCTGCGACTCCACGCAGACAACGCAAGTAACGAGCTGAAGAACCAATTATGCTTAAAGTTCATGAGCTGGCTCACTCATCGCGGGCTTTTCCAGGAGTGCATGCTGACCACTTTTCAAGTGGGCCACAGTCATGGCCGGATAGATCAGAGGTTTTCAGAGATACGTGCAGTTCTGGCTGACAGCCCACTGCTCCAGTCACCAGAAGACTTCGCACGGGCGCTGCAGAAAGTCAAGCCGCGCGAAGGCCGTGAACTCCGGGTAAAGAAGCTGGAAGCAGCAATAGATTTTGAGGAGTTCTTCAGCTCACTCCAGGTCAATGTCTCGGGGCACACGCAGACACACTCCAAGTCAAAGCAGGGCGAGGAAGCTGTGCACGTTTTTTCTGTGCAATTGCGAAAGAACATCAGCAAGTCGTGGCGCGACAGGATTGCCTCCTCATTTCCAGACACTCCCAGTGAGAACGATGTGATTCTCACTTGCAGGCATTACTTGGCATCAGACCAGGACTCGCAGGATCCTTGCGTTTTGGTGCCTGACACAAGGATGAGGGCATTGCAGGCGACTGCGCCCGACAGCCTTGCACCGCGACGCTCTCTCAGCGAGCGCCAGGCCAAGGAGTTCTCCAAAACAGCAGTTGCGATCGCAAAACCACCTTGGAACATGCTGAAGGCTAGCTCTTACTTGTCCAACTTGGTCAAAGAGAACACACAGGGCGGTGGGCCTCATTGGAAGCCATTGCCAGTGGACTGGGCTTTGGCCGGGCACCCGCCCGAATCCTCCGCAGCAAGCGAACCAGCAGACGCCATAAGCCCAGAAGAGATGCAATGGGCTGTACGGAAGCCAGCCACTGTCGCAGCCAAACCTGTCATTAAAACAGGAGCTTCCAAGGCTGCCGCCAAAAAGTCCAAGGCCATGAAGCGGCCAGCAGCAGCCCGCAGTCCGGAACCAGTTGCTGGCAAGCGCAAGGCTGCTGAGGCAGCTGGCTCGCCGCCATGCGGTGCTTCGGCAAACGCTTCTGACCCGCCGCAGCCAGAAGGCTGCGAGGCAGATGCAGTTTCATTGCCAAGCCCTGGCAGCGGAGAGGAAGGGCTCCACTTCAATTCCGCACTACCAGCGAAGCCCACGGCATCAAGCGCAACGGTCGGCGCACCGCGGGGAGCAGTGGTAGCAGTTCCCACCGACGAGCGGCCCGCAGCCAAGGAAAAGCCACGAAAGCGTCAACTGGGCAAATTGCCAATGCCAGATGATGCGAAAGACTACTTGGGCTGCACCAAGTGCAAGTACTCCAATATCGGATGCGCCACATGCCGCCGCAAGGTCGGCCTGGTCTTGAACGCTGATGAGACTGCCTGGACATGGGCGACTTGAGACACGGGACGCGGCCAACCAAGATGAAAAACACGCCCCAATGCATCGCATCCAATGCTGCACTGCTTGCCTCGCACTGCCCAGTAGTAAGTTGTAACGCTGCGCTCTTTCCACATTGTAGGCATTGGGCTCACAGATCGCATAGTAGTTCAGCTCCCGCCCCAATCTTGCAATCCATGGCAGCGCAGCCTGACATCATCATGGTGGACAGCGAGTCCGACTCTGGCGACAGCCAAGAAATAGAGATTCGGAACACCGCACCACGCCACGACTTCATTGAAGTCTTCAGCCCACCAAGGGTGACCTTTGCTTGTCAACGCCAGGGCCTGGTGGCTGAACACGGCATAGACATAGTGACAGGTTTTGACCTGAACACCTTTGAAGGTCGCGCTGCCACACTGCAGCTGTTGGGGAAGGCCCGGCCAAGGTTCCTCATGCTGAGCCCCCCATGCACAATGTACTCGGCGCTGCAGGGCTTGTTCAACTTGCACAAGATGAATCCGCAAGTCCTGCAGCAGCGAATGGTTGAGGCAGACAGCCTGTTGAAATTCGCAATGTTTCTGTGCAAGAGACAACATGACCGAGGAGCTTTCTTCTGTTTTGAACATCCACATCGGGCCACTAGCTGGCAGAGGCCCTTTGTCCAAGCCATCCTCAACTTGCCGGGCTGCCAGCTCACCGCATTCGACCAGTGTCAGACAGGATTGGTCACTCCTGGAGAGAACCCAAAGCCCATCAGAAAGAGGACAGTGTTGATGTCCAACGCGCCGGCCATCCAGGCCATGTTCGGGCCCATGCAGTGCAACTGCCCAGCAGCTTCGCACGTGCATGTGCAGGGGTCTGTCGATGGCATCCGGTTGTCCACATGGTGTCAGAGATACACTCCCGGGCTTTGCAATAATCTGGCGGAGGCAGTGGCCAGAACACTTGGCCACGAGTGAGGCGACAAACTTACCAATTAATGCACCAGAATAGATTGCTCGCAGGATACCAGATTCAATGGAGGCAAAATGTGACGATCTCATGTCTTCACAAAACGTTCTCCGAGATCTTCAGATTTCGGCCGAAATGTGCCGATCTTTTTGGAAATTCCTGGAAACCAGCAGATGTCCCCCTACATTTTTTTGTACCCAGACATCTTCAGGTTTTGGCGTTCCCATCCCGAGATCTTCACATTTCGGCCGAAATCTGACGATCTCTGCATCTCACAAAACGTCATGCGACATCTTCAAGTTTTAGACCGACAGCCACTCTCGGTGGCCCAAGCAGTGTGAGTCCCCAGCAGCTCCAGGTCCAGCCCAGCCATTCCTGGTTTGCGGCTGACGCCTTGCTGGCCTCGACTCGACCTCATGACAGACACTGCGCCGAAGCCATCACTAGCCTCGAAGGAGGAAAGTGAAGAGACACCAAGTGAGTCAGTCGCCCTTAGCTTGAATACCAAGCCGGAGGAACCGGAGCCAAGAGTTGAGGTGAGCCCTGAGACCTTCCGCGAGGTGGCATACGCAGTCCTGGTGGACGAGTTGAAGAAATGGGGCTCTCCGGCCCAATATCTTCAAAAGACTTACCCGACTCCGGAGTCGCAGCTTGAATTCAAAGAGCTGTTGCTGGAACACTTTCCCAAGAGCCCGGGAATTGATTACCACAGCAGCTCCGAGCTACCAAGCAACATGACCGATCTTATGGCGCTTCATTTGTCAGATTTGGGATTCTTTGCCCGCTCCAGCACCAAACCTGCGCCGTTCCTCCACACCAGCATCAGTCTTCTGGATGAGTACTTGACCAATTCATTCTTGACTGAGCAGGACCCGGTTCTCCTTGCCCAAGGTCCTAGCACCAGCCCCACACCCGACCCGTTCTGGTCCATATACGTGAAGGGTGCCGCTCGAAGTTGCACTGCGCTGTTCCTGGCCGCGCAGTGCATCAAGCGTGGGTGGAAGTTGGCCGTGCTGCGGCCAAACCTGCAGCAGTCGCTGCTGGTGGTTCACGCACGGCGCGGGTTCATGCCAACTGACAGAGAGGCTGTAGCTTTGGAGAACGCGCGGCTCTCATCCCGGGGCGCCATCAGGAAGAGCCACTGTGTGCTGACATGGCTGGGCAAGCTGTCGCTGCTACGGGAGCAAGGCCTTTCAGCTGAGAACACTCTGAAAGTTTGGAATCAGAGCTGCACCAAGGAGTCTGCCTTGACAGGCAGCCGAAGAGTTGCGTTGCTGCAGCTGCTGGGCATGCCCAAGGCAGCTGCGGACCTTCTCTTGGAACATGTGTCACTGTTTGGTGACCGGACAGCATTCATGGAAGATGCATTTGCCAGCAAACGCTTGGGAGTGGGGGCCATGCCCCGGTCAGGATCCAAAGCCTGGAACATGCGGCTCCAGGTGACCGAGGCCGGGCAAATGCTTTTCCTCCGGTACATTCACAGCCAGCACCTCAAACGGCTTCCGGGAACCCGGGCGAAGAGAAGCAAAGATGATCTCGAGGAGGCCATCTCGATGGCGCAGCTTCTGGTCTCGCTGACGGACGACCTGACAGCGCAGATGCCCATCGCATCGGTTGATGCCCAGGTCTTCGAGCGGTTTGTCGAAGGTGACACGAACCTGGACTTGGAGCTTCAGTCCGCATTGTCGGAGAAGCGGGCAGATTTTGATCATGGAGACATCACAATCTTCCGTGAGCTGGTCAATGAGCACGCCACCAGCACTGACCGAAAGAGACAGGCCCTGGGCATGCCGACCAGCAGCATTGCAGCCGCCCAGCTGGAGCGCCAGGAGTTTGACATTGCCATGTCCACTCTGAAGCGGGACTGCGATGCTTACAGGATTTGGCTCACACAGAGCCGCGACCGGGAGGCAGCGGCGTATTTCGCAGAGCTCCAGCACCAGAAGCAGCGCAAGCAGAAGGCCAAAGACATTGCGAAGGAGATGGGTCAGCCATCCTCGGCTTTGTGGACCATGCAGCTGACAAAGCTGGGCAAGCCCGCGGCTTGCTACCAGGAGATTGAGGGCGCGATCAAGAACATCATGAAGCGCGAGCAGTTCACGTCGAAGGATCAGGTGCTCAGCCTGGTGGTCCTCAACTGGGCGGCGCCCAGCACATTCAGCTCGGAGCAGCAGGCCTGCCAGGCATCTTTGGCAGGCGCCCTGGTGAACGACGGCAGCGGCATCGGCGCAGTGCTGACGCCGGTGTACTTCCACAAGAAGGGCGCGCTCTTCAAGGTGGAAGAGGCTGCCAACAAGCAGCTTGCGGGGGCGAACCTGAACCAGGACCACCGGTTCGCGCTCCCGTTTCAGGGCAGGAACGACAAGCGCGAGAAGCGCACCTTGGTGCAGCCTGGCCGGTTTCTGGTTCCCATGGAGGAGGAGAGCTACCAGAAGGTGATGGACATCTGGCGGACGGCACCCCTGTTGCGGAAGCCCTTGGCGGAGGAGTCGGTGTTGCTGGCCACCCGGGACATGCTAAGACCAGCCGCGGCGATTGCCGACAAGTTATAGCAGTTAGCAAGTAGGCGGCAACCGGGCGGCAAGCGCTCGGCAAGTGCTCGGCAACTAGGTCAACTCGGGCATAGTCATTTCCAACACTTGCGGGGACATATAATCGTTTATTGGACTTGCTATTTGTTTTTAAGTTATGGTAAGTTTTTATTAAGTTTTCACATCTAGATATAAGTCTCGATAGTGGATTTTTAAGTCAAGTTAAGTGTGTGTAACTCTTGATAAGTTTTGCTAACTTTTTATAACTTTTTCGTGTTTTTTTCAGGTCGGTTTTCGTTGATCGCCACGTATACTGTGCTTTGCATGTCGCAATGTTTTCGTAGCAACCTGATGAGAGTTTTGCGCAAAATGGGTGCAGCCAGCGTTGGCCTCGGCTGCGATTTTGTGAGAGAGTTGTTGAGAGTTTGAGCCATCATGGTGCTATAGCGGGCTTACGTCGTTGCTTGGCGAGAGTGCAAAAAAGCGGCTCAAATGAAAGGATCCTTTGTCTCATCACGCGGGTTTTGCTTGGAGAGTTTTGAGGGTTTGAGAGCTCATGAGAGTTTTCATGGTTTAAGAGTTGATGCATGAGAACCTGGAAAGTCTTGAGAGTTTAAGAGTGGTCTGAAGGTTTGAGAGTTTATGAGAGTTTTCAGGGTTTGAGAGTTTGATAAGAACCTGGAACGTCGTGAGAGCTTATGAAAGTTTTCAGGGTTGAGAGTGGGATAAGAGCCTTGAGAGTTTGAGAGTTTGATTGAGAGTTTGTTTGAGGGCTGGTTTGAGAGTCAGTCAATGCCACAAAACTTGAGAGGTTCACAAACTCTCTATAAACTCTCAAGTCAGCAACTAAACTCTCAAATCAGCAACGAAACTCTCAAGTAAGCACATGAAGTATTTTTGGATCGAAGCTGGCTCATACTAGCGCAAGCCTAGCACCTCTCAAACGCAATTTCTTCTTTTTCAGCTTGTAGACCAACACCTTCACCTTTTTCTCCAACTTCTTGATTTTGCTATCAGCTGTTCGAAGGGCATTCTCCATCTCGATGATCTTGATCCATATCAGCCTCTGCCACTGAGGGCTATACCCATCCACCGTCCCATCAGACAACGGAATTGTACGATCCATAGCCTTGCCAGGACGGGATACCCTACGAGCAAAAATTAGATCTGAGCCGCGCGCATCGTCGATGAATCTGCAAGTCAAGAAGCTGGTCAGTCAAGTTCATAAACTCTTAAACTCTCCAAACTCTCAAGAAACATTTGCATGGTGTGTGACTCGAGCGTCAGTGAATCTGCAAGCAAGGAAGTTGTTCAAGATTCAAATTCAGAAACTCTCAAACACACCAAACTCCAGCAGAAACATTTGCATGACATCGAGAGTGGTGAGAGCTTGACGTGCACAACTCATTTGAGAGCTACAGGGATTGAGATTTGAGAGATAGAGAGTTTTGGTCAGAAGGGTTTGAGGGGAATCCATTGGTTATGAAATACTGGCTTGTCTACAGTACTAATAAATTCAGAAAATTCTGAATAAATTCAGAAAAATTCTGAATTTGAGGCTTGCCTAGTACTTGTTTCCATTTACTGAGTTCAGAAAAAATCTGAATAAATTCAGAAAATTCTGAATAAATTCAGAAAAAATCTGAATTTGAGGCTTGCCTAGTACTTGTTTCCATTTACTGAGTTCGGAAAAATTCTGAATAAATTCAGAAAATTCTGAATAAATTCAGAAAAATTCTGAATTTGAGGCTTGCCTAGTACTTGTTTCCATTTACTGAGTTCAGAAAAATTCTGAATAAATTCAGAAAATTCTGAATAAATTCAGAAAAATTCTGAATTTGAGGCTTGCCCAGTACTTGTTTCCATTTACTGAGTTCAGAAAAAATCTGAATAAATTCAGAAAAATTCTGAATTTGAGGCTTGCCCAGTACTTGTTTCCATTTACTGAGTTCAGAAAAATTCTGAATAAATTCAGAAAAATTCTGAATTTGAGGCTTGCCCAGTACTTGCTTCCATTTACTGAGTTCAGAAAAATTCTGAATAAATTCAGAAAAATTCTGAATTTGAGGCTTGCCCAGTACTTGTTTCCATTTACTGAGTTCAGAAAAATTCTGAATAAATTCAGAAAAAATCTGAATTTGAGGCTTGCCCAGTACTTGTTTCCATTTACTGAGTTCAGAAAAATTCTGAATAAATTCAGAAAAATTCTGAATCTGAGGCTTGCCCAGTACTTGTTTCCATTTACTGAGTTCAGAAAAATTCTGAATAAATTCAGAAACAAAAAGCTGAATAGAATATGTTTCTGAGCCAATAAACTCTCATCATCAACTAAACTCTCGAACCCTCAAAACTCTCAAGTGGCTTGTTTACTGCAAACATTTGGTTGGCCGAAGTGATTGAATGTCTAGGTGCGGTTTTTCGACGCGTGGTTCAAGAGATGCCAGGCGTGCTTTCTTTTGAGCCCACAAGCTGTAAGGCGTGGCGTCAGCTGAACTCCTGCAAATGGCTTTGCCCTGCCTATTGGAGAGAGGTGGATGGCAACTTGCTCGTGTTGGTTTGACGGACTCGACGATGGCTGTCTTGAAAAAAATGTGCGGCTGGAGAGTTTCGGAGAGTTTCGACAGCGTGGAGAGTCTTGAGCGGCTAGAGAGTTTTGACAGCGTTCATTGGCGGATCCTTGAAAGATTTTACTCTTTTTCGACCGCTTTCGTATCTAGGCACTGCTTGTTTTCTGCAATTATGTGCTGACCACAACGTGTGATTTTTGCTCTCCGATAACTTTTTGTAACTTTTTGTAACTTTTTGTAAGTTTTTATAACTTTTTCTAAGTTTTTCTAACTTTTTGTATCTTTTTTTGCGAACTTACTACCTGCGGATAACTGTTTGTATCTGTTGCGAAGTTAGTTATAAGTAGATGCAAGTTCCGTTAAATTTGTGTAACCTCTATATCTTGTCTGTAACTCCTGCGGCTGGTCTTAGTGGTGACCATCGAGGATATCGCAGAGAACGCGCTTCCCCAGACCACCGACACAAGCACGCACATCAAGCCCGCAGAGAAGCACCAACAGATCGGCGTGGACGCAGCGCGGAAGCTCTTGCGGGGCTTCGTTCAGGGGATGGAGAGCAGCTCCAGAGCGAGCATCCTGGTGGTTGACCTGAGCTTGCATAGCGCAGAGCTTTGCAAAGCTGCGCTTCTGGAACACGCCTGCGGGCAAGGGCAGCTGCAGCTTCCGTGCTACTACATTGGCTTTGCAGCCGACGAGGAAAAGCTGGAGTGGGCAAACCATCACATGGAGGAGTTCCTCGCAAACAGCTTCTTGGACCAATCGCTTCCCTTGCCCAAGTCTGCCAGCATTCCACCTGCGAAGCTGGAGTCGGGCTTGGGCGCGGTTCCGCACCCGCAGCTTCAGCTGCTGACGTACTCCAAGCAAGTGAAGTTTGAGGGCCTGGCGTCTTTGAAGACGCCCGACCCCTTGCTGATCAAGTACGACGAGAGCCCCTTCCGAACAGAGTTTTACGAGATCTTGGCCGCTGCCCGTGAGGCGCTGCCGCTTGACCTTCCTGCAGAGAAAGGTGCAGCAGCACAAGCGAAGCGTGCCCTGAAGATGACCGTCGAGGCTGCGGCAGGTGGCCAGAAGAAGCAGAAGACGCAAGAAGAGAAGCCAAAGCTGGCGCACATAGCCGCTGACAGCGTTCCAACCCCCCTGACTTGGGAAGCCCCGCTGCTGAAAAAGGGCAACAAGGAAGTGTGCGTGGTGATCTCTCTGGGGTCTCGAATCTGGCTGGTGAACCGGTCCGACTCGGAGCAGGCCTTTGAGGCTGGCACCGTGCTGGCCGGCTGGTACAAGGGGAAATTCTGGCACCACCGAAACTCTGGAGAAGACCCCAAAACAAAGAAGGCCAAGAAAGAAGAGGGCCAGTCGAATGAGCCAGGCGAAACTGACGTGCAGTTCAAGTTGAGCGATGGCAACGACTTGGTCAGCTTCAACGGCAAAACCACGAACCTGGCAAGCTTGATCCTGGAGAAGCGCAAGAGTGTGCCCGACATTGGCATTTCATACCACAGCATTGTCGACAAGCCCTTGCCTGGCCAGCCCGGGTTCTTTGGGTTGGAGACCAAGCACAGCATCTACTTCCGGGCAGAGACCATTCCCGTCAAGACTGAGGACAACCAGCAAACGCCCAAGATTCCTTTGAATCACTTGGGCGGGTGCATCAAAGCCAGCGCATGGGACACAGCCGCGACACACATCGTGTGGGCAGTGAAGTGGAACGCATCAGCACAGAAGGGTCTATCGCCCGTCCGGCCAGTGGTCACCTTGAAGCAAACGGTGAGCTTGCCGGCGCAGTCAGCCGTGGAGCTCTCGCAGCAGAGCGCCAGCACGGTCACGGGGCCGTCCGCTGAATCAGAGTAGGTGTAGCAGGCTTAGGCAGCGCAACTGTCAGTTTCGAAAACCACGCATTGCCAAGGTGCACCAAAAAATCCAAACAGGACCTTCATCCCAAGAGGAAGCCTGAAGATAATTCCAAGTTGAAGTTGGGCTGGAACACAGCCCCGCAGACCCTGCGATTCTACCAGGAGAGATTGCAATATCAAATGACATGCCAAGGCGCAGCGACCCACCACCAAAAAGCTTGATTATTCTTCACCCATCCACACACCATGGAGAAACACCCTTTACAACACACAACACTAATAGGTTTGGAAAGCTGACAGCGTAGGGCAGAAGTAGGACCGGGCCGGGCCATCAGATTGCCAGCGGATCACTGAAAAAAGAACTTGGAGCGCAAGGTGTCCTCACTTCCTGAGTTCATGAACTTTAAACTTTTTGGGAAGACCATTTTAGTGGTACATATAAAGTTTGGACTTTTTTTGGCCATCCACCCAGCCAGTGAGTGTCAACACTTGCATACACAAAGACCACTTGGTTATCAGCAGCATATTTTTGCAGGGCTTTTAAAATTTGCAAAGCGGGTGCGTGTCTATGAAGCAACACTGGATTGAATCTTGCTGCCGGGGC